GGGGGGGGGGGGGGCAATGTAAGATCTTCAATCGGTCAAAGTGAAAATTTGGACACCCTTGCCTTGGTATCAGAGAGAAAAGAATGGCCCTTGGGTTGATGCACATAGGAGAAGCATGCTATTAGCAGTGGCATGACCCTTCCAGGCATAATAATGTCCCTTAGGCCCCATTCACACAGAGCGACATGAAAATTGCGCGATTTTGAGCGATATTGCGCGACGAGCGATATTGCGCAACTTTTTCCTATTGGGCTGTATGCAATCAAGAGCAATATCGCTCGAAAAAAGGGTCATGTAGGCGCGACAAGCTACCACCGACGAGCTACAAGCGATATTGAGCGACGAGATGTGAACAGCTCCATTGAAATGGATTGGAGAAGCTACATAGAGCGATATCGCGTGGAAATATGAGCGATATCGCTGCAAAAATCGCTCGATAAATCGCTCAGTGTGAATGGGGCCTTACACCCGACAACGTCAGTAGCAATATAATGGCCTTTAACCACTTCAAGTCCGCGGTGTTAAACCCCCTTCCCATCCAGGCCATTTGTCAGTGTTCAGTGCTGCAGTACTTTGATTTAAGTTTTTTCCGTCATGCAACGCTGTACTGAAATACATTTTATACCATTTTTTGGGGACAGATAGAGCTTTCTTTTGGTGGTATTTATTCACCACTGGGGGGTTTATTTTTGACTATATTAAGGGAAAAGTACTGAATTAACAACAACAACAAAAAACAGTTTCCCCTATATTTTTTTGGTAAAATATAAAAGACCGGGTCACGTCGGGTAAAAAGACACTAAACATGTACAGTAGGCCTTGAGTTTGACACATGTGCTTTACAGGATACAACTTACTTAGCCTACACTACATGTAACTGCCCCTAACTAGCTTTGTATAAAGTCATCCAGGACTGAGTCTACATGGAGTATATTCAAATAAAAAGACCAAACCAAGGCCTTGGTTGACTGAAGAAATACTCAATCCCCCCTAGCCTGTGTGGCCCAAGGTAAAGCGGTAATGAAGGAATGTATTGAGCCATCTCTTTGTCTCTGGTATACCGGCAGTTATGAGCAAATCCTGCATAGAAGAGAAAGTTTGTAGAATTCCTTCATCTCTATAGGAGACAGAACTTCATAAAGTCTTCAGCGCAAGCTGACAAAGATAAAGCCACAACAGAATGTGTATGTGCTGACTTAGGGCTGAGCTGTGCTGGAGATATATACAATCCCCATATTGTATATCGGCAGAAGCACATGCACAGCCACTTTTTCAAAGTTTTTTCCCCCCATTGATTCATGTCCCCCAGGGCAGTACCCGGATCCCCATACATGTCCCCCAGGGCAGTACCCGGATCCCCATACATGTCCCCCAGGTCAGTACCCGGATCCCCATACATGTCCCCCAGGTCAATGTGAGCAATTATGTTGCGCTTGGTAGTGAGCAATATTCTTTACTATATCATCTTACTGTGTTTCCATCTCAATTAAAATGTTTGTTTATATTTAAGTGAAGAATAAATGAAAAATAAATAAATTGATAGATAAGATGAACAAACAAATTGTAAAAAATGTAGAATATGTATAATAAATACATTAAATTATAAATTATAAACTGTGTCTTTGTTTTGTTCAATATTTCCTTAGTAAAAAATTTTTGTGCTGTGACAATTAAAACAGTATTCTGTGATTAGACACTCGCTCCCACATCTATATAAATTACATGTGCATTCAGATTTCAAAAGGTTGATCTCATCACTCGATTGGTTGATTCCAATTACACACCTATTCGATTTCAGAGTGACCAATAGTGATGATAACTCACATAAAAAAAAACATTTATCATCGCCCCAAGATGAAAAAAACGAAAAAAAACAGAAAGAAAGGCAGTGTCTCCA